TTTGCAGTAGTCATGTGACACAGTTTTGGCCAAGGAGAAATCTATTGGGTACTTCTGGAAAGGCTTCTGCTTATCCTGATAAAAGGGGCACAGACCATTGGCCGCCATCTCGCACTCATAAGGAACATGTGAAGAGATTCACAGAAAGGCAATCCAGATCTCTAACAAAACAGCTACGTACTTGCTGACTTCTTGCTACGCAGGAGAAAATAGATCCCTATTGTTTGTGCCATTGTTAACTGGGTCTTCGGCAACTTGCAGCCAAAAGCATTAGGAAATGATCGAGAAACCCATAAGCACTTCTTGGATTTACATTTGGCTGAATTATATGAAACTGGTGTTTTTGTAGGTCAAATGATTGACTCTCAACAGTTTCATGTCATTTATTCAAACTCTATGACTAAGAACCCTTGAGGCTGGGTCTGTAGATGTGCGTCCGTGAGTATTCTTTTGACCCCAAATAACCAAACCCTCAAGTCAATGCATTAGGGAAAGTGCAGAATAGGCGTCCAGGGGCTCAACAACATCATCAAAGCCTTGGGTTCTTCCCAGGTCTCTCTTCTGCCTTCTACGAGGTCAAGCTTCATTCTCAGGCTGCTTCCTTCAGGAGTACCACCAGCAGCAAGGTGTGCTTTGTGGAGAAAAGGAGTTCTGCCCAGCATTCTGGACAAGAATCCTAAAAGTCCCACTAACTGGGTCACTTGGGTCACACGCTTATCCCCCGAACCATGACCGTGATTCTGGTCGTGGTGTAAATCGATCAGCATCCAATCCTGGGTTTGCGATGGTGTCAGCTTCCCTCTCAGATCCACAACATTTTGGGTGCTTTCTGGAAGTGGGAATGGCTAGGAGAATGGACACTGGCTAGGTAACCACGTTGTCCACAAGAGGTCTCCACCAAGTTGGAGATTAGGAGTTGGCAGAAACAGAAACCACTGGAGTGGAATCCGTAGTCACTTGGTTGTTTCCATACCTGGGCTATTATAAATACTGCTCAGTGAACATGGGAATACAGATATTTTTTTGAATTTTGCCTTCCTTTTCTTTGGATAAATACTCAGAGGTAGAATTGCCAGACCCTACGGTAGTCCTATCTTTAAGTTTTTGATGACTCCGTGCTGTTTTCCACAGTGGCTGCACCAATTTACATTCCTACCAACCGTGCACAAGGGCTCCCTTTTCTCACATCCTCACCGGTGCTTGTCACTTCCCATCTTTTGGATGATAACCATTCGAACAGGTGTGAAGCTATGTCTCATTGTGGTTTTGATTTGCATTTCCTTGATGATTAATGATGTCAAGCATCTTTCTCGTATTTCTTGGCCGTCCGTATGTCTTCTTTGGAGAAACGTCTATTCCGATCTTCAGCCCGTTTTTAAATCAGCTTGTTTTTTTGCTGTTAAAAAGTTGTATGAGTTCATTAGGTATTGGGGGTATCCGCCCCTTATCAGGTATACGCTTTGCAAATATTTTTTTCCCATGCACCACCTTGCCTTTTCGTTTGTCGACGGTTTCCTTTGCAGAGGCCTTCAGTTTGCTGAAGTCACGCTTGTTTGTTTTTGCTCTTGCTTTTGACTGTGTTGTCAGAGTTAAAAAATAACAAT